TGTTGGTTGGCCAGAGCTTTCATTGCGAGTTAACCAAAAGTGGAAAATAAAACTGGAGAGTTGCATGCCTCTGCAGACGCAAAGATTTGCACAGAACTGACCAAATTTGACGTAAACATTCCCACAGCAAATTTCTTGCAGCTGAAATTTGATTATCAAATGGAATACTTGCTCGTAAAGTGCAGCCCTCAGCGAAAACCGAAAGTAAACATTATGAAAAGAGGAGCACAACTTCTGGAGTGGATGTGGATGTGTGCTCTGGAACTTCAACGTCAAAACTGAAACTGAAATCGAAACTTGGAGTGGAGCAGAGTAGGAAATGGCTTCGACGCTTGTTAAGCGCCTTAAGAGTTGTAAATAAAATCAATTGATTTCTTATTTATAAAGCACATTTCGTATTAGTGAACAGAGCCCGCTGCCACCTTCTAAGCCCTGGGCAAACATGACAAAGGAACCCCAGAGTCAAAGCCGAAGCCAGGAACAAGTAAACAAGCACATAAATAAATTATTTACTTAGGAGCTGGAGAGCTCAGCCGAGGGAGATTGTACGAATATATATATATATAGATATATACTTGTGTATTTTTTTTGCTGTGTGTTTCCGCTTAGTAAACAAAACTGAAATGACAAAAAGGCAGCCCAGCTGACAATGTCTTGACCAACTCGAGGACCACTCTTCATCTGCCACCCCTCCTGGCAACATTATCAAGACAAACAGAGGCATAATGGAGGAGGCCTGCAAAGAGAAAAAAGAGCAGTCAAGAACTAATAGTGGTAGCCCTCTCTGTGTGTGGTCCAAGGAGTGCGAATAGGGCTGGGTCATTGTGATAAATAAGTAAGCAGCCGGAGACAGGCTCAGACCTCAGATCGATTTATGCAAAGGTTCCCCCTCGCTGTCTCCCCAACGCTTTTAGTGACATTAAGAGGCCTGGCCCTAAATGTTTAATGGCCTGCAAATAAAAGTTATGCACTCCCTGGCCGAGCGGGGGGCAGGCACATTAGCGACGCAGGAAGATTATATCGCTGGAGGGAAAAAAGTGTGCAGAGGAAATGAAGGAAATCCGCTGATAAGCCAGCGGCATCAACAGGGAAATAATTAGCATAAATCATGTGTGGAAACCAAAGCAAATTATACCCTTTTTCCCTCGAAGAATGACAGCAATTATGCAATTTATTTGTCACTTGAGTTAATACGAAATTAATGATGAATAAAGTCAAGATTTCTTAGAAATGCTTTGCCAAATCTTTACGGCATTAAAAATATATATTTATAAAGATTGAAATTATGTCATTGTTATTCTCATCTCAGCACATATCAGCAGCCAATTAACCTTTGCAATAAATTGATGGCAACAACAAAAATTCACTTTTAAAGCTTATCAAGCGAAACACTCCCCTCTACATATGCATCTATATATTCATATGTATTGCTGTTATTTATATAGATTCATTTTGGTGGGTTCGTAATTACGCTAAACGTTATGCGCATTTATTTCCCATTGATTGTGCATTTTTAAACTATTTTGTTGGTGATTGTGATTGTGTTTCCACGGAAATTTATATAGTTCGCCGCTGTTTAAGTATGCAAATCTCGTGTTTTGGGAACAACTTAAATATGCAGCTTACAAAAGAGTCACACAACTAGTTTACGGTCTTTTGTCGTTTCCCCCATAGAGACATAATAAACGAGAGCAATCTGAAGGTGGAAGGGGTGGGTCGCATCCTAATGAGGCCATATATTTTGGCTTGCTTTGGTCACTCTGGTATGTTTTTTGCATACAATCTCTGGGCTGAGAGAGCTTTGCATTGACCCAATTCATTTATTTATTGAAATTGCTTTTATCAAGAGTCAGGCACTGAGGCCTTCAATTATTATTTATCGATTCCGAGTCAATTTGTCAAATTTATTTTCCTGCTCCTGCTGTGGGCTCTCTCTCTCTCTCTCTCTCTCTCTCTCGTGCGTGTGTGGAATCCTGGCTAAAACATTTATGCTGAAACATACCAATATTCAGGTTAAGGCTTTTGCGACTGTCTGTCTGTCTGTCATTCTCTGATTTTGGATGCATTTCCAGAGAAATTAAATTATAAATTTACAGGGCACATACTCGTACTCCCCCTCGTTCTCCTCCACCCAACAATCGGTATAAATTACTCTGGAGCTGTCTCGAGCGTTGGGTGTTCTCATTTGATCAATTTATGCGCTTACTTTTCGTTGAACTGGAAACCGTGCCTGGGAGCGGGGCTCTCCATTGTCACCTCAGGTCTATCTGTCCGTCCATTTGTGTTTGGACTAATTTATGCGAGGCGGACACACAACACAAAGTCAATGTCGTTCACCAAATGGAACAAAAAAACAGACCACAGCAGAGTGGAAAATGGAGGCCTGCACAAGTACATGGAAAAGCGTTTATCTAAGCGAAAATGTTACCAAATGCCGTAATTACAATTTACTGTGGGTAATTATGTAATTTTCGTGACGGTCCTACGTTGGGCAGACGACAAACAAAGTGCGTGCCTAGGTCAACATGCGCCTCATCTCCCTCGCACATTTTTAATGAGTTTCGGCTGAAAACTTGCTGTGCGCCATAGCCAGAGCCAGAGCCATAGCATGTGGCATGCCACAAGCACAGATTGGGAGAAGAGCCTCTCCAGCAAGTTGTTTGATTGTTCTTGTTTGCTCTGGCAACTTCTCTTGTCATTTCCTGTCAAGGGAAAATGACTGGAGGACTGTAGGATTTGTTTTCTTGCCTTATTGAGAGGGAGAGAGAGAGATGTTCTCGTTTTGGTTGGCCAAGACACGCATTTCCTGCCGCGATCGATTAATCGATGTGGGAAACAGCAAAAGAAAGATCGCAGATCAATGATATTATGATATGATTCGCTCTTCAGCTTTATTCTGCTCCGCTCCATAAAATGTTCATTAAACCCAAGCTGCCAGACAGACAAAAAAGTGTTTTCCCCCCATTCAAATCACATTAGCAAAAAGGAAAGAAAACCTTGTTCATTGAAATTGAAATTGAAATTTAATTTGCCGAGTCCGGGAGATTTCGGGAGAGTCATCGTCAGCGGCCAGACATTAGTTTGCACATATTCAAATCAACTTTTTATTCAATTTTATTCAATTCCACAAGCGAAAAAACGGGGGAATCATTAAAATAAAAACAGTTGAAGAGGTGTTGCGGTGTAAGCGGCAGAGGATACATGATAGAGAGACAGGAAATACGTTTTGGCCAACTAAGCAGAGGGAAAATGAAGAGGCAAACAAAAAAAACAGACAAACAAACTGGAAATCATTGTGTGTGTGTGCCGTCCCCTCCGCGGGCATCATTAACATATATTTGAAAACGCAGTAGAATTCCTCGAGTGAGGTTTCCCCCTTGCCAGCCACTCCCGCAGCGGGTTTCGTGGGTCCCCATGAAAATTTGTAAGTATGTTAGACTTGTCACTTGCACACTTCATGACCATATTTGTCACATTTGCGCCATGTTCGCCCTGGCCAAGGAGCCCGCGGGGCAACCACCAGCATCTATCCACTCGTACTCGTGGCATCCAGCATCCAGCATCCAGCAATCAGCATCCAGCGCCAAGGATGGGGTCGGGTCCGGCATGGGGTTCGCTTCCTGGACCCGGCCACCCCCCCACTCGGTGGGCAAATCAGATGCGCAACTAACGAGCAACAACCACGACAACGGCAACGACAACGACAACGACAACGGCAACGACGACATGGAAATTCGTTCGTTCTGCGTTTTGCCATATAGAGTGACCAGAGGGTAGCAATGGTCATGATGGAAGCCACACAAATAGCTGAGATATCAGAAATATCCCATCGAAAAATACGTTCTGTTTCGAATGAATAATAATATTTAATTTGAGCAGATAAATCTGCAATCTCCGAGCAAGATATTCATGGGTCCACAGTAAGTCGAAACCCTTTCTGTGCCAGCAACTTGCTTTTATTGTTTTGCCGGCTGCTGCTCCTCCAACTGCTGCTCCTCCAACTGCTGTTCCTCCAGCTGCTGTTGATGCTGCTGATGCTTTCTGCGGTTGCCGCAGACGCCTTCTGGCCATATTTGTATGAATAAATGCGTATTTAAGCACATACTTACAACACTTGCCATGTATGGTGGCCCAGCAGCAGCCCAAAGACAAGGGACACACACAGGGGACAGGAACAAGGGACTGGTGGGACTGCGACTGCGACTGGGATTCAGACAAGGGACAGTTCCCAGTAGCAGGCAGCAGGCAGCAGGCAAGGGGCCAGCCCCCTCAACATTTTGCATTTTCCCTTTTATGCTTTTCCACATTTTCACATATTTTTCTGTGGCGGTTCACATTTGCTTTCTGCTGGCAGCCCTCCCACCCCTTTCTGCACCATATTTAATTGCGGAAATATTTCAGTTTCGAACGAAAAAAAATGAGGATAAAACATTTTATGAATTATGCTCAAACAATTTGTTAAGCACTTTTTTGCAACATTATTTAAATACCAAATTGCCATTTGAGTAATTGAATATTAAATAATTATCCAGAGTTTATCTATGCCAAATACGAACCGAAAGTCAAACAAAAAATATAATTAATGTAGAAAACTAAAGTGGAATCAAGGGCCCTTTCGGGGGTTGAGAGTTTTGTTATTTATGCGCTGGAAATAGTTACAAGTGGAATTGATAGATTACTCGTACAGTATATCGTAATATCTGATCTCTGGACATCCCTTTGATGCATAGAGTGGAACCATTAAGGCATTAACATAAATAAATAATTAAAATGAAAACAAAAAATGTAATTCCTTGTTGAATATGGAAGGGAAATAAATTGAAAATCATGAAAAATAATTTGCGAAAAAGGGAAAAAAAGCAAGAATAAATTTGTATGAATATTTGAAGCGAATCATAAATTGCCGATACGCAAACCTCTTTGAATTATTATAACCATTTGCCCCAATGGGTTGTCTTAAATAATTTATGCATTTTTTACACATTTTATTCTCGTTGCAGGTATATTCGAGCAACAATATGTTTGACAACAAAGTTCCGGCTTTCAAATTGAAATTGAATTTAATATAATAAATACAAAAAGAGAGACAGAGAGACAAATACACTGTTTGAATTGTTAATGAGCCACAACAACAACAACAACAACGGCACAACAATAAAAAGTGTTAAATGCTGATGACGTTGGAGCTGCCAGTGTCACTGCCATCTGCCACCAGAAATTGCCGCTGCCGCTGCTGCTGCCACTCCTGCCACCTATTCACCAGTGCTGAAAAGTCAATTAAAGGTAATCAAATCGAAACTGATTGCGTTACAGCACCAGGCGACAATAATTTTAATTCGCATTGATGTTGTCACTTATTTCATTTCATTTTCTGCTAAATACAACAATTAATTGGGGCCACAGCGGCTACCCCACCCTTCTGGCCTGTCGCTTGCGGTTTTTGACGCTCCGCCTGACAAGTGCGCGCGGTTTTTGCCGCGACTGCGATTTTTTCGCTTACCCTGGCGATTTTATGTTTGTGCTGGAATTTGAGGAATCTGTTAGGGTTCCTGTGGTGCACATTGTGGTTTATATGGGCATAAGAGGATTACAAAAGAGAATCTGATTATCGAAATTTGATTTTGGGATTAAATTTGAATTGAATGCCCTTCGGAAGTGTTGAGAATGGCGATACGAAAAAGGTTTTGAATTATTATGAATTACCACTAAAAAGGAGTGAAGTTTGTAGAGAATTACGTTCCAAAATATTGCCAATTGGCAATTCCCTTTGCTCCCTCTGATTCCATTCGGGTTTGACTTTTCCAACTACGTGACTTTTTTTTTGGGGTTTATGGTTAACCCCCAAGGAAAAAGCAACAACTATTGAACACTAATTGCAAGTTGTTAATGTTGTGTTGGCAAAGCACAGCGAGGCGACTCAATTGAGACTTGTTTTATTTTTCTTTTATTGTAGAAACTTTTGCAAAGTAATATAAATCACCCAAGGGTTGAGCGCAGTAACCCGAGGAGAACCGGAGAAGGCTCTCTCTTTCCGCTGAATGGTCGCCCGTTTAATGACGCAAGTAATTGCAACTGCAACTGGCAACTGGCAACTGCCACTGGCAACTTGCAGCATGGCAAGGCAGAGGGATGGGTGGAGGCTAGACTTAATGAAAATCAAACAAAACGAAGCAGCAAAAGCAAGTACAATAACTCAAAGTCGGTCAACTGTGCAGGGGAACACGCGGCCGTTGCCGTTGCCGTTGCCGTTGTCGCTGTCGCTCTTAGCTGCCGTTGAACCCCTCTTAGTGACAGAGATTCGAGCATTTCCTTTCCGAAAAAGCAATAATTGATAAACGAACATAAACGAACAGATGTACAAGCGTTCGGAATGAATGAATCAAGCTCAATCATGATGTTGATATCCAATTCAATGGATTGAAGGGTGGGGGCTGGTATGTGTCCGTGTCCATGTGTGTGCATGGCAGCTAAATCAATTGATTTATGCAGCTGGAAACTGCATTTGATGAGTTTTCATTCGCGTTTAATTGAAAACAGTAATTAAATTAATGGCTGCCAGGCCAGGGAAAACTCTACGTCTTTAATTAAGTTCAAGAATGACAGTTTTCCCAACTGCTCCCAGACCAGACTCTTCGGCAGACTCTCTCTCTCTCTACTAATTGTCACGCAAGTCTTCCACTGACACCCAACTGAATGCGGAAGCCAACTTCGCACATGAAACGCGAGCGCCAATACAAAAAAATGGAGCAAAGCCCCAACGCGTTTAAAACAGCGCCAGAAACGCGTTGGGAAGTATTTTTAGCTGACAAAAGAGTTTCGGAACGTGACTTTTGTGGAAAGTGCTAACCATGTTTAATGCGGATTAACCAAAGAGACACTCAGATACATACAGTTTAGCATTGTTTAGCAGACAGCTTTATTGGTTACACATTTCCCCTAAGTGGACAAATATTTGAATAAACTCTCTTAAGATCTTAGCTGCTTGTACATTAATACCCTTTAAGGTGCATTACAGGCCCTGCAAATGCTAAGATTTTTCGCTTCCTCTGACCTTTTTGTTAATTTATTACGCTTTAATCAAATTTACAATTTTATTGCATTCCCGGAATGGAACACCAACCCCAGAGCGAGAGAGAGAGAAGCCCTCTGTGGCTCTTCTTGCTTACCTCTCACATATATCATGTGTCTCGCCACTGCCCCACTCTCGCTCTCTCTCTGGTTCGCTGCTGTCTGCTTATGTATTCATAATTAAATTAATTAAATTCTTGCGCTTCAATTAAAATCTTATTAAGTTTCACTGTATGCCTAGCCACAGCCCCACAGTCGCTCGTGAAACAATGGATAATTGGGAGAAGAGAGACAGCAAGCTCTCTCTCGCTCTCTTGCAGAAGGGAGGGTATGAGAAATGAGAAATGAGCAGACGAAGAGTAAGAAGCACCGACTGCAGACTGAAAATGGACAAACTTCTTATAGAGCTTACTTATTCACACATTGCAGGCCCAACAGAGAGAATCAGAGTAATACACATAGAAAGGAGGGTTTTCCCACTGGCAAATGCTTTTCCATCGCCTCATCGCACAACCATGGCCACATCCCCCATTTGGGTGAACATTATTCAACAGAGCAAAAAAGAAAAAGGAAAGAGACTCCCGTGTTGGTCCTGTGCTGTTTTTTTTTTTTTTTTGGTGCACTGGCAACACCGAAACCCACAGAGAAGAAAAGAGGAATGCTGGCAGACCATGTGGTTCCGTTGCCGTTTCTGGCTGCTGGTTGCTGTTCTTGTTGCACTCGTAGTACATATTGCCGTGCTGCATTCTTCGCATAAATTTCGCCATCGCACTTAACTCATGTCTCGGGGTCGGGCTCTCTTTAAATGAGTCTGGTTAGCTCTCTCTCTCTCTTTCTCTGTCCCCCCCTCTCTGGCGCTGTTTAAGGCAAAAAACCACCGTTCCAGTGGCGCTCTTCTTTGCACACTCTCTTTTCCCCCCGCTCTTTGCTGGCACACCTCCAGCCACACGTATAACTCTTGCACACACATGTGACGTCCCTCCGCTTGCCGCTGCAGCGTTTGACGTTGGTTGTTGAGCAGGGGAAGGGGAAGTAGGCAAAAGTTTCTTCTTGTTTCGCTCTTTTTTTCTGTCTCTTTTTTATTGTACTATGTTGAGCGTGGAAATTTAAAAGCAAATGCAAACAATATGGAACATTTTAAATGCACAGTGGGATGCAATCAAGCTGCAAGTGGAAGTGGAGAACGATAAGTTCAAAAGGAAGAATAAAGAAGGATTAATTATAATTTAAAGGAACATTTTGTATTTTGATTGTAATGTTACAATTATTGGATAGTTATTAGGGACTGTTCATGGTTGTGCAAAAGGTATTCGAATACAAATATACAATTTAGATAGTAACAACTGAACGCTTGGGAGGAAACTAAAAATAGTTATTATTTGTTTAATTATTTTTGAATTAATGAATTAATTTTGTTTTATTTTGGGAATGCTCTGAATCGCAAATAAATAATTAAATTCAACATTTTAGTACATATTATTCAACGTACGAATTATCTTTGAGTTAGTTGTGACACTATTGCTGCTCCCCCTTGGTTACACTTTTTGTTTGCCCTTGTCCCACTGTGACTGGACTGTGGCTAGGTGAGAACGGGCCATGGCCAAGTAAATCAGCGCAACTGTGAAACTAAAATTCAAGCGCACTAAATTTACGCACACCCATTTAAGCACAGGTTGCCAGTCCCCGCCGAAACCAGCTTCTGCACCGGATCCACCCACCCGCAGCACCACACCTAACCCTAGACTGGAGAAATGTAAGCTGCCCGCTTAGATGCTTTCTCTCTCTCCCTCTCGCACTCTCTCTCTGTGTCTCTGTGTCTCTGTCTCGGGTATCCCTTTTGTTACATCCTTGCCGTGCAATTTTCACCATTTTGTGGTGCACTTTGCGCCTGGCCGCGATTTTACGAAAGATTTATGGGCCACGACGCTGTCCTGGCCACTAAGTCCAGGTTCAGGCATACCCCCACTCACCACCAATAGAGCCTTCCTCCACCTGCCACGGCTTGTCGCAGGTGAGGCGTGTTGAGTCAGCAACAAAGAGGAGGCCGCAGGGCGGAGGGCGAACGCAGGACATCCGGTTGGTGGTGTCGCGACTGCTCCACTTCTAATGCCTGTCAGCAAATGCCGCTGTAGGGTCCCAAAAGCCGCCTCATCCTTTCTGCCGGACATACAGGAAAATCCCATTGCCCCTGCCACCACGCCGTCAAGACCGTTTTCATTAGCGTTCTTTACCTTTTTACTATTTAATGCTTAATTTAAATACAAATCCGATCTGTTTGCTGACTTTTGCCGATAAGAGCTCGAGGCCCGCACCCGCATCCGCATCCGCACAAGAAATAATGTCCAAAGTTGGCAAACTTTTTTCAACCCGGCCAAAGGAAAAGCGAAGGCAGAAAAAATCATTTGTGCTTGGGCCAATGGCAATTTAATTTGCTTTGGCTTAGAGCTGAGCAAACTTTTGCCGCACTTCAAACGGCGGATTGGCTTCAAGGATCTCTGCTCTAGAGTTCACTTAAAGATTTAAGTCCAAGGTACACAGGGAGTCGGGGATTTATAAGGGTTGAAGGACCGATCTGTTAGTGTTCTTCAAGTTCTCTCTTTCCTACTTACTCTTTAATCCTTGTTTAACTTCATAAGATACGCACTTCCTTTTCCACTTAGGGTCATCATCCTGCCAGACTCCACCATTCCCATTCACTCTCTCTCTCGCTCTCTGCATACAATTTATGTCTCAACTTCCTAAGCCGTGTTTGTAGTAAAATTTCCACTATCGCGCCTTAATTTTAAAGCCCTCGACACTAAATGCTCCTCCACACAAAATCCCTGCCCCCCCCTGGGGGAAGCTCCTTGCAATCTGCAGTTATCCGAGGAAAGTTTATGTTCGACATGCTGTTACGGGCGCCATATGCGCGTCTATCAAAAAAGAAAAGCCCCACTGGCAGACCCACCTCCTCTGGAATAAGTCCAGTATATATATGGGTTAGTTTTCCGTTTGCCATATAAATTTGTTTAAGACATATAGCAAGGATCAATAGCTCGGGATTTATTGTCTGCCACATATAAGTTTGCCTTGGCTTTAAACTCCCAGACACACGGAAGTGCGCCGAGTGGGGAATGGGGAATGTAAATGTGGAGATTGCTGCTAGATGGCAAGGTCGATGGGCCAAAATGTTTTACCTACTTTTGGCTGTCGCCGCTGCCATGGATATTGGGCATGGAGCCAAGCCGAAATGCGCTGAAAAAAAAGAAGAAAATTATGGCTAAAATGGCGACGTCGTCTGGGACCTCCACTACGACATCGGCTTGCGGTCGTTTATATGTAAAATATTTGGTTTACTTTATGACTGCTTTGGGTATTACTCTTTACTTTCTTGCCATGCCAATTCTCGCTCTATCGTGCTCCATCTCTCTCGCTCTCTCTTGCGCTCTCTTTTTCTGAGGCAAAGTTTTTGGCAAGGCAGTAAAACCAAAAAAAGAACAAGAGCAAGAGGAGTGTCGAGTACGGTGCTAGGAATTATGCCATAAAAGCCATGGTCGTAGCTCCAACTTTTGACAAAATTCTTGGCTTGTCGTCGACATCATCCACCTTCTCCGTTGCCTCATATTTCTCCATCTCCAGCCACAAGCCTCCTCCTCCTCCTCCTTATGAGCAGCTCGTGGCCGTCATCGTCGTTGTCGCCGTCTCCTAGTAGTCTCAATGTTCAAGGGACCCATAAAATACTTTTTGAATCCAAAGCCGCTCACCATTGTTGTTGGTTTTTGTGGCCCACTCTCGAGCGGGGGTGGAGCGAGAGATTACCTACAGAACAGGACCAACAAATGAGCCAGCTCACTGGGAGACCTCTTTAAGTGCTCATTTCGGAGTTGTTGAACTTTGCCATAGGAGAAAGTCCTACCAGCTAAATGTTTACCTAAATTTGGAGATCGCATTTCAGTTTCTGCTTCTAGAATGCTAGAAATATCTTAGAAACTCTTTACTTAAGAGCAGCCTTGAAATCTCATTAGAAATAGCAAACTCAACCCCTTGGATCCCCCCCGAAATTAGCCAGCTTTCGATGATTCCAATCACCAGTGCCCCCTCCGGTCTGTCTTTTTGCGAGCGTGGCTCTTGTGTGGTTCATAAACACAAATCAGCTGCTGCTACTGGCAGAACCCAATGGAAACCCCGTTCGATCCAGATCCCCAGCTCAATTCAATTGGAGGGAAACTTTTTGCCAGCGATTACCATTACTGCAAAATTGAAGTAACATGTGTGGCGACGCGCAGTTGCCAAGCGGCCCCCGGCGGCCACTCTGCACCACACCACACCACAACTCTACTCGACTCGACTCGACTCCATTCCATTCCATTCTAATGTGCCCCACCTAACCGCCACCAATACCGCCCGTTCCCTGTGCCACCCATGCCATTCCATACACAATCCATTGTTTCGTTTTCTATTTCACAGACGAGTGGATGTTGCCACAGCGACTTTCACTCTGGCACACAGCCTTCAGCCTTCAGCCTTCAGCCTCACGTCGCGAATGGTTGGTGGGTGGTTGGGTGGGGTGGCGTGGGGGATGCTGCTGCTGCTGCTGCTGCTGCCCCAAATACCGCTTCCAATTTGGCAGAGTCTGTGCGTGAGCTTGCATTTCTTTGTTTTGGTCTCTTTCGGATGGCAAATATTTGGTGTGCTCGAGTTGAGCACGAATAAAAAGTATCTCCCCGATGCACAGACTCTAACTCAAAGTCGCAGCTAAAAACTGAAGCTGTAAACTGTGCAAATAGTGCAAATACAGCGGGAGGGTACCATACGATACGATATCAGCGGAAGAGGAGGTGGCAGGAGGTTCGTCGTGATACATGTCTCGAGCGGAAACTGTGCCAAAAGACGTATGGCACAAAGCAGGATAAATTTGCCGAGTTTATCATAGCATATACTCGCTGTAAGCGGGGGAGTGCCAGAGCTCTCTCTCTCTCTCTGTCTCTCTCTCTGTGCCTGGCTGTTGGCAAAACATGAGCCAAAGCATTCAGCATAAAATATTGTCGGCGATATTTTAACGCGCGCTCAAGCGAAATTGTCATATAAATAACATCAGGGGGAAGGGGTTCAGTTCGGCAGGGTGTGTGGAGCCTTCCTCTCGGGGGTTGGGTTGCGTTTCTGGCTTAGTGGGCATATTGGCTCTACTGTCCGGGGACTGGCTGGGCCGGTGGCAAGCATTACTTTGAAATATTAAACATTTTTGGGGCAGAAAGGCAAACACAAGGCACAAGTTGAAGTTTATTGCTGACATTTGATGGCTGGCTGGCGGACAGCAAAAGTTTGCTGGAAATTGGAGCACAGGCAGCAGCAGCAGCAGCAGCAGCAGCCGTGGAAACCGGGAAGCCTGGAAACCATTACGGACCAGTCAATTTTTTATATACATTTTCCTAATGCTATTTTTAAAAGCGCCAAACTTTTTGGCCCACAAACAGATGAAACACGTTGGCATCCCTGCCGCTTTTAGGCACAACTGTACCAGCTCTCTCTCTCTCTCTCTCGCTCTAAATGGGCCATAAAAAACATTAAATCAAAAGAAACTTGCATTTATTTAGCCATTTCCACCAAACTGCAACTGAAAAAGTTTCGGCTTCCCCTAAAACAAGAACAATACGGAAGAGGTGTTGTGAAAAGTGGTGTGGCACAGGGGGAAGGATGAAAAGGGAAACGGAAGTCATAGCGCTAGACCAAAGCAAAAGCAGAACCAAGGGGAAGCCCCAAATCCAAAACAAGACGGAACCGGACTGCGCGCAGACAGACAAATATAATAAAAAGAGGTTCCCAACACCACACCACACCACACCACACCACACACCCCTTCCACCCGCCACTTTGCCACTGTCCACTCACCCTCTTGGTGCTGCCCACTCTCTGTGGGGCCATGGCCGCAAAGGCTGCACAGTCCTAGTCACAGTGCGAGTTCAACTGACAGCCAAACATTTATAACAATGGCTGAAAATAGTGGCTAAAAGGGGATGGGCGGGTGCGGACACGGACGGAACTAATAAATGAGTTTCGGCAACAGCAGCAAAACCAAATAAAAATGTCCCCCAAAAAAAAGAAAGCGAAAATAAAATCTCGTCGGCAGACTATAAAATATTTAGAGCATACTTTCAGGGGGCGGACAGACAATATCCTGGCTGCAGGGAGCGGCTAAAAGGTAGCACATTTGTGTGTGGGTGACAATTTAAATAGCTGCAACCAAAAGGAAATAACCCAAATACCATTGCATAGTGCAATCCCAAGAGATAAAAGCTGAATGAAAGGTGGAAGGCGAGTAGCGAGAGTGGCAAGAGGAACGAGTGGAACTATAGGAGAAAGAACAGCGAGTAACTGCGTTAATGTAAAGCAAATGGAATTGATTAATGATGGATCCATAAGCATGTGAGAGCATCACTGGAAGAGGTTCCTAAATGTAGTTTAAGGCAAATAAATCCTCTGTTGTAGCTTTCACAACCCAATCTCCTCTGGCAGCCTCACCCAACCGATAAATTCTGAGCCACTTGAGAGGCAACAAACAGCCACAGGTCTTGGGGTCTCACCGAGCTCAGCATCAGGCCTCGGGCACTGTGTTGGCCATTTAACAGGATTTTAGCAATTTAAATTTGATTTTTTCCCCCACTTTTCCCCGCCATCCAGCCGTTTAGTCTCCCCTTCCCACAATATGCATTCCACGCAGCTGTGCTCCGGAAAAACTTCACAATTTCTGTTTTTATTTCCCTGAAATTGTTGTCAGTTGTTTGTTCTTCGTGGAAGTCAGTCTTTCCCTCAACAAGTTGCTTTATGGCATATGCATGATAATGATGAGGAGTCCTGGTCCTGGTCCTGTTCCTGGTCCTCTTCCTGGCTCTGGGACTGTTCCAGGACCCTTCTCGAATGCCATTTTTTTGTGTTGTGTGCGTGTGGCGCCGCTTCATATGATGCTCCCGGGTGTTTATGTGTTATTTACATAATAAAAAGCGAGAGTTAAGAGAGATGAGAGGCAGCCTTTGCAAGACAGTCGCTGCTCCACTGCCACTCTGCTCCTCTCTGCTTTCCTCTGAAGTATGACCCACATCTATGATTATTTTCATAGCGCCTTTGGGGCCGGCCACGCCTACACTGCGTAAAGTTTTGAAAAATACAAAAAGGGGCAAGCTTCCTTTGTGCTCTTTCCCCTACCCATTCCAAGGAAACAAAACAACAAACAGAGCAAGAAAAAAGGAGAATTTTGCCTTTTGTTTTATTTATTTTATGGCCCCCCCTTCGGGGACCCTGCGCCGATAGATATCTCTTCTCGTACGCAGCATCATCCTTGAACTTCCCGCAGTTGCTGCTGCCGCGCTAAATTAAGTTTTGTTTCCCCGTAGTCCCCAGATCCCATCCCAGAATCCCGAACCCCGAACCCCGAACACCAGAGCTCGCAGCTGATAAATGTCCCCAAAGCAAACAGAATGCAAGTTTGTGTTTTAAGTTTTGGCTCAAACTATGCGGCATGTCTCTTTGGCCTGTTCGGGGCGGGGTGTGTTCCCTCTGGGCCATGGACTCTATATGGAGGGTTTGGGTTCGTGCTTGGGGTTGGGGTTGGGGTTGAGGGCAGGAGGTTTGACTTTGGGGACTTGTCAGTCGACACAAAGGGTTGGACCCCGGTTAGGTCCATTGTCTGACACGTGTACGAGGAGTGTGTGTGTTTTAGGGGTGCGGTTGACTTTGAAGAACTTCCTCGGGGTAAGTCTGAGGGGCCACACACACATTAAAGCCTTTGCAAAGCCTCAGTTAAAGCCAACTTCTGGCTGGCCAAATGGCTGTCCTAATGCCATTCCTAATGTCGGTGCCGTGGCCATTTAAATTGTCTTCATTTGCTTACTGTCAGACAGGGCACACAGCAACAACAGGAAAAACGAAAAAACGAAAAAACGAAGCAAAAAAGCGGAAAATAATCCACAAAACTACCGATTAACTCCCGACGGGGTTGGAGGGGGACAAACGGCAGCTCCAGCGACTGCAGCAGCTGCCAAATCCAATGAAAATCCAAAAGCCAAGCCAAACCATTTTCGAACTCTAATGGAAAATCAATTTAAAGCGCTCGAACCAACCTCTAACCCCACTCTCTTCTCTCTTCCCTCTTTGTCGTTGCAGGCGAATGTCGGAGTCGAAATACGAAAGCCATTGGCAAACTTGGCCAAAGCGTATTTAGCCCGATATAAAAGCGGGCACAGCAGACGAGGAACCAGCAAAAGACAGTCCACACACAGCAAAACCACCATTCAACAGAGAGACAATCACACAGGCCGACAGGCAGACAGGCAGACAGAGAGGAGACCAGACGGTCAGGCAGGAAGGGCAGAGCCCAGTGTCCAGTGTCCAGTGTCCAGAGGGGAGACGTGAGAGACGTGTAATGAGCAGACGACGGTCGTCGTCGTCGTCGTCGTCGTCGTTGGCTAGGGCAATTACCATGTCGTCGTCCTCGCCGACCTCATCGCTGTTGTCGCTGCTAGGCCTGGTGCTGGTGGTGCTTGTGGGCTTACTGCAGCCAACAAATGGCCTGGCAAATTGTCCAAATGGCTGTGAATGCGATGACGACACCCTGATGGTCAACTGCGGCGAGGGGCGGCTGGATGTCCTCCCCATAGCCCTCAATCCGGCCATCCAGCGGCTGGTCATCAAGAACAACAAACTGAAGACCATCGACTCGTCGATGCAGTTCTATGCGCAGCTGACATTCCTCGACTTGTCCTTCAACGACATGGTAACCATACCAGAGCGCTCCTTCGCCTACCACGCCAAGCTGCAGGAGCTCCATCTCAACCACAACAAGATTGGCCAGGTCTCCAACAAGACCTTCACGGGCCTCTCCACCATCAGTGTGCTCAATCTGCGAGGCAATCTCATTGCGGAGCTCGAGTTCCGCACCTTCTCGCCCATGGTGCGGCTGGAGGAGCTGAATCTGGGCCAGAACCGCATCAGCCACATCGATCCGCATGCCCTCGACGGTCTGGTCAATCTGCGGGTGCTCTATCTGGACGATAACACCCTGACGACTGTGCCCTCGCAGCTGACATTCCAAAGTCTGCCCAGTCTGGCGGAACTCTACTTGGGCACCAACTCCTTCATGACCATTCCCGGCGGTGCCTTCCAGGACCTCAAGGGTCTCACCCGGTTGGATCTGCGCGGTGCCGGACTGCACAACATCTCGGCCGAGGCCCTCAAGGGGCTGGAGTCGCTGCGCTACATGGATCTGTCGGACAATCGACTAACGGCCATACCCACGGCTGCCCTGCAGCGTCTGGGCCGCCTGGAGGAGCTGAGTATTGGCCAGAACGACTTTGAGGTGGTTGCCTCGGGCGCCTTTGCCGGACTGCGTGAGCTGCGGCGGCTCGAGCTGACGGGAGCCCAGCGGCTGAGACGCGTCGAGAGCGGCGCCTTCACGGCCAACACCAATCTGGAGCAACTGAATCTGTCCAGCAACAAGCAGCTGAACGAGCTGCATGCCAACGCTCTGGGCGGTCTGCCGCATCTCAGCTCGGTGATCCTCAAGGAGAATCAGCTGAGCACCCTGGCCGAGGGCCTCATACCGTGGGCCGACCTGCAGACCCTCGACCTCTCCGAGAACCCCTTCGTCTGCGACTGCCAGCTGATGTGGCTGCGCAATCTGCTGATCAGCAAGAACGCCAGCAACCAGTACGCTCCGGTGGTGTGCGCCTACCCGGCCACGCTGCGGGATCTGCCGCTCGCCCAGCTGTCGGAGCCGCTGCTCGGCTGCACCCACGGAGCGGCCAACAAGCAGGCCATCATCGGGATCCTGGTGGTGGCCTGTGCGGCACTCATCACCACTCTGGCCCTGGTGCTGTACACCTGCAGGCGGCGCATTCGGGAGATGCTGAAGGGACACTCGGCGCTGGGCAGGAAGGAGCGCGAGTACCAGAAGACATTCTCCGACGAGGAGTACATGACGCGACCGCCGCCCGGCTGCGGGGGAGTGCATCCCGCGGGTGCGTATCCCTGCAGCCAGTCGCAGTATATGGGCAGTCGGCCGATTCCAGTGACCGAGCTATAGCTAGAAGCTCCACCCCCACCTCAGATGCGGGGTAGGGGTGGCATCGCCTCCACCACCAGCACCACCGGTAGCAGCACAGCAGCACCGCTGCAGCAGCTGCAAGTGCCCAGCCCCGTCGATCATGCCGCCGCCGCCTCCTCCTTTGCCCAGCTCAGCCACATCCACTACATGACCAACAACCAGACCCAGATTCCGAGCCCCAGCCAGACGCAGATGCACCACTCGCAGCAGGACATGCGCCTGCTGGCCAACGGCGGTGGCAAGGCTCTGAACGCCGCCTCCCTGCCACGCCACAGGATGCAGGAGAGCACCCTCTCGCACTACAGCCAGCCCCTTGCCCTTGCCAACGGCATTCGCCTCACCCAGGACCACTTCAACCACAACCACAGCCACAGCCCGCACAGCCCGCACAGCCACCCACACGGCCACAATGGGGGCGTCTATGCCAAGCCCTGCGATGCGATGGCCGAGCCGGGCTATATCCACAACAACTCGCACTACTCCCTGCCCCTGGATCACGATTTACCGCCCAGCCCCACGCCCACACCTCCACCACCGGCCCTGCCTTTGCGCAATGGCGTTGGCATGGCCCTGATCCATGGCAACACAACCGGACGGCGATCCTTCAACAGCAACAACAACAACAATGTGGCTACTCTGTCGAACAACAATCATGGTGTAGGTGGAGGAGTGATCCTGGCCAGCGGCAGCAACAACAACGGCAGTCTGCGTCGCTATCACTGATATACGGGGAAGACGTGCGGCACCCTGGGCCGCACCTTTAAGCCGAAACCCAATCCGGACATTGAGCTGTACCATTTCTACAAGGGTTGAGTTTGAGAGGATGAGCAGGAGCCGGAGCAGGAGCAGGACCAGGAGCAGGATAAGGCCTCTTGCGGATGACGATTTATGTGTTATTCTACCTACGATCTGTGGATCCATTCTATGATCTAATTTATCTAATTGTATATTCTTATGTTACGTGTATTCAGGCGAAAGCATTTTGTATAAATTAGCATTTAGTTGAGTGATTATGAGGAGGGGGAAAAGCGCAGCGCAGCAGCAGCAGGGAAAACCAAGTGTAAATACAAGAGCGCGCACGGTTTGGCATTCACTGGAAAGTGGCAGGGAAGCCAGCAGCAGCAGCAGCAGCAAGAAAAATGTCACAAAAACAGCAACGAGCCGGCGCCCTGCCAACTCTCCTGAAATGTCATTTCATTTGCATCCAGTGATCTTAACTATTAAGTTCTGCTTAAATTACAAACAAACAAAGAAAAACACTTAAATTCGTGTAAATAATTAGAAGCTTTTTCGAGGAAAAAATGGGAGAACAAAATTTACGGAAATTTCACTAACGAAAAATGCAATTTCATAAAAATACTTACATTTAATTTACGCGCTTAAGCACCAGTCACTAAAACTATGTATGTATCTAGACTAAATTATCACCGTAAAATAATCAAAAGGTCAACAACAAAAACAAAGAGAAAGGCATACAAATAAATAAAAAATAAAACAGCAAAATATACAAAACCGAAAATAAAACAATCTCGATTTTTATAGTTAATAAATTCCGTAAAAGCCATAAAGGTATCATCCCCTAAGGTAAACTACAGATTGGAACGATAAGCAAAAGCAAAAAGATATGGAAAACACACCATGAAAATCTGGGAAATGTTTACGTACTCGAATGTACTGTATGTAGATCCCTTGAAGAGTTCAGAAAAAATATGAATATACATAAATACATAAGCAATTTATGCAAGATAAACAAATACGAAATAAATATTAAAAGTAAATTTACAATATATATAAAATATGTGTGTAAATAAACAAAACAAATACATACATAGCTATGCGAAAGAAAAGAAAAAAAAAACAACTTAAAATTTTGTGTTGATTTATTTTGGTTATTTTTTTTATTATTTTAGTGTTGTGATTCAGGTTTGTGTTTTCACTTGCCATTGCAATGAGTTTTCAGCACTATTGAACGATTGTACATACATACATGCATGCATACATGCATTCATACATATATACATACATATGTACATATGTATGTATTAAACAATTTAATGGAACAAATTGCAAAACCAATACAAGGGAGTTTAAAAGTAACCTACAAGCAAAACAAAAACAAATGGAAAATGAAAAGAAAACTTACTTATTCAAACGTAAATTTCATATTCATATTTCATAGCAAATCAGTAGCTCTCTCTTTCATCTAGTTATTACAGAGAGAAGCAAAAAGGAAGGCAAACTACATCTATGAATAAATTAAATCAATTTGAGAATACAATTTAAGCAAATTACAAGGGACAGCCATAGTTAAACAAGCAAAGCCAGGCAGACAGCCAGAAAATGGTGCGAGTGCTCGTATGAGCGTATAAACGAGTAAAAACAAGTAAAATACACAATACATATAGAATGTAGCCGAAACTGCGAAACAAACCAAATATGTGGATCATCATCTAATCGTATCACTAAAAGGACAAACACAACACATACAAGGAATTCTCTCTCTAGTTATTGTAAGGTAAAATCGCAAACGAGCGAATGAAGAATATTTCAACCATGTTCAACAACTAGAAGATAAAATCAAATAAAGAACAAATTTAACAATATCATGCAAGAGTTTTTCCTAACAATGTTTTCCTATATATTCGCATTTTTTTCCTTTCCGCTTGGGACAAAATTGTTAATTTTGTGTAGGGGTTTTTTTAGATTTTGCCATTGAGCCACCCACTTTATGGGGTAGCGTGGCCGAGCGGTCTAAGGCGCTGGTTTAAGGCACCAGTCTCCTCGGAGGCGTGGGTTCGAATCCCACCGCTGCCAGATGGAGCCATCTATTTTCGTTTCCTTTCTTTTGGATGAAAGTTTCGAGCGTGTTCGCCAATCTGTTAACGATTCCGAGGGGCTACACTTGCCTCTCAACTGTTTTGCTGCTGGTGTCAAATGCAAATACCTAAAAACACTTTTCTATGGCAGTTTAGTTAATGCGTCGCAGAGAGGGTTGGGGTGATCCGAGAGAGCAACATCGTTGGCACTCATCTGCATAATTTAATTACATTTAACAATAACAAAAACACGTGCACAAACACACACACATGGCTCACATGAACGTGCAGCGTTTTGCGCTAATAAGCGACAGGGTTGCCCTGTCCCCCCCAAACTCCCTTCAGCCATGTATGTAAGTTGTCAAGCGATGCGCGATGCAATGCTACTCCTCGTATGAACAAAAATCTCAAGCGAGCCACTAGAGTAGATCGCGTGACACGCGTAAGCACGAGCCAGCACCGCAACGATTGAGAACGATAGTTTTTAATAATAATTACGCACAGAAGAGGTAGATTGGCCCTCTCACGCTCTCACCGCTAGACGAAACAGATTGTGAGAGAGGAGTGCCAGAAGGAGAGGGCAAGGCAAGTGCTCGCTCTGGCATAAACAGTTACACATTTGCATGCGCCTCCCCGTCTCTTTCTCTCTTGGGATGCCTTTAGCTGCTGCTGCTGCTGCTGCTGCCTGCTGCTCTTGTTGTTGCATACTCGTATGCGACATTAGCGCACGCAAACAACGTGCACACAATTAGAAGAATTAACAGCAGTTAAGGCAGCAACAACAGCAAGAGCCCCAACTTACGGCAAGATGTGCAGCTCAGAAGAGTGCTCTCTCCTCTCTCATTGCTGGCGGCTGTTGTTGCTGCCGCTGCTGTACTTGTAATTTAGTTTCGAAACGAGTTGCCGCTCCCGCACCCTCTCCCCGTCCGCTCTTTTGGCCAATCTTGGGTTGTTGTTGCCACAACTTATTGGCCACAACATGCCAACTTATTAGGCAAAAGCGCAAAAGTTATAAATTGTTTTACAAGGCGCACATTGTGTTGGCCATAAACATGAGCGGGTGGTGGTAGGTGGCAGGAAGCCAATAACTTGGTGCAACAAAATTTGGACTTAAGGTACAATTGCAACGGGATTTGGCGATAAGAGATAATCACGGGAAAGCTATCATGACCTCTAGCAGCCAATTGCGTACCCTTGGAAATTCGTACGGGGCCTGAGATTTCTGTAATATCCTTGAATAATGCATAGAAATGGAATTAAATCAGCTTGAGACTGCATTTTTAATGGAATAACTACTGCAGACCAGACTTTCAAGGCAAAAGAGAATTTAGTTTCCTATTTAAATGGATTGATTGGTCCCCGCCCTTCTGTTTTATCTAAAATCGGACGCTCTGCGCTATTAAGTGCACCTGGAATTATGTATTTATCTATTTTATTTCGCAATATAATCATATTTTAATTGATCTAATTTAATTTCATGCAATATGATTTTCCCAACACTGCTACTTATCCCACTCTCCCGCATTCGAGAGACATTAAAAAATGTTTTTAATTGCCAGCCGTATATTTATGCTACCAAAATTGTTTTGAAAACAAAAGGAGACCGAGCGAGACCTTCCTCTGCTCCTTTCCGAAGCGCTCCACAACATTTTGTCTGCTGTGCTAATTTATATGTTAATTTTTTTCATATTTTCCCACACAAACCGAATATTATTTTTGTGCTGCGAGTATTTCATATTTCGTTGATGCGGTCGCTTTATTTTGAATACAAAAACAGGAAAGGATGCCAAGAGCTGGCAAAAGTAACAGCAACAGCAACAGCAACAGCAACATAATGCCATCGTCTATTCAAAAAGGCGTTTTGGTTTTTTCTGGGGTTTTATTTTCCATGAAATTTTCGCTGAACTCGCACAAAAACAAGCCAAAGAGTGTGGGTAGGGAGGGTAGGGCTGGTCATAGGCAGCTTTTTAATTTTCGGCATGAATTAGAATAATAGTCAACGGATATTACACAATGGCAGACTTCACCTCCTCCTACTCCTGTGTCCTTTTGCGTCCAGGGACGTGGTCAGCAAGGAGAGCGAATGCTAGAGGGACTTTAGGGGGAGATGCTGTTAGGGATTTCCGGTCAGCTCGGTTGGGCTTGTGGGGCTGGGAACGTTGGCCATTAAGGGAATAGTTGATAGAGGAATCTTTAATGAGAGGCTAGCAAAATTCTGTTTCAGCTGGGGATTAAGCTGGGAGCTAGAAAAAGAGACTTCATAGAATTTTCGATCAGATAATTGCATATTTAATACGGAATTCATTAACCAGCGCTCTCTTCCCCACAATCATATTCATACAGCCACATCTCGTCTTTATTTTTGGCTGTGACACATACAAATTTGGCAAAGTATTTAACACGAGTCGCACGGTTCGTGGAGATGCGAAAAGAGCATAAGAATAACACAAACGAAGAACAAGGACATAAAAAGTGCTGACACCTTTGAAAAATTTTCACGCTAATAAAACACAAAACATGCCAGAGAGCAATGTGAAAAGCGTGGAAGAGTCCCACAGCTTTCAGTCTCGCAGTGCCGGAGATGGCGATGGAGATGGATGGCGATAAAGTCAGAGGAGGTCCAAGTGTTGGGTGGGGGGTGGTGAGAAACCCAACAAAAGTAGCAGCCCCCGGGCAACCGCAAAGGGAACGGTACCAGGACTTGTTTTGTATTTGTCCCTTTCCTTACCGAAATAAAAACCCACAGAAAAAAGCGAGCAAAAATTTGTTTTAATGCCGCACTCTTTTATGCTTTTCTTTACAACTTCTTTTCAGCTTTTTTTCTCCTTTCTTTTTGTCATGTTACAATTCTGCAGCGACAGCAGTACAAAATAATACCTCAAACCCAGCCAGAGTCCCATCCCAGTCCCGAAGGCAACCGCAACTTGTGCAACATCATAAACCCATTTGCGTTTTTAATTAGTAACATCGCAACTTTGCCAGTAGTAGGAGACTGCTCGGAGGGATTGTCACAGAGGGAGAGAGAGTGAGAGAGGCGGACAGTGCGAGGGAAAAGTAAATGACCATGCACAAAATGTTGCACTCCAGCAACAACAGAAAGAACAGAGAAACAGATAGCAGCAGGAAAAAAAAACTGGAGCAAATAAGGTAAAAATTTTTAATTGCCGCAGAAGCAAAATTATTAAGCTGCGGTTTGTGCGGGTGCAGATGCTCTCGCAGAGAGAGAGAGAGCACCAGGGGTCGGGTTAGCCAGTCAAGTACCCACAGTGAAGGGAGAAGAAGACACAGAAGCGGAACTGGGATCAGCGTGGGGTGGGGTCAGAGGCCATCATAAAAGAGTCGGCAGGCGAACAAAGTTGAAAAAGCGCAACTCAAGTGGAGCAGCCGCCTCCAGTCAGGAAGGGATTCTCTCGTTGAGGGGATTCTTTTTTTTCGGGTCCTATCCATGTATATGGGGCAATGACCGAGGGTTACCACTGCTGACCAGTGAAGAGGACAGCACTGGGAGGTGCTGACAAGAGCCCCTGAGAGAAACTCTGCTTAAATTTTATGATAATCCAAGTCTACACAGAAAATGCCCCAAAAAACGTTGCGACATTGGAAAATTAATAAGCATCCTATGGCAAAGT